ATAAGGGAGCATTTCCAAAAATGGAAAGAGGTGGACAGAGTGCAACTGTGTTTGATTTATTACATGAGCAATGTCTTAGCACATTGAAAAGATAAGAGGCTCTTATTTTATATTCTAGCTTGTCAATATTGGCAATTTAAGTTTCTAATTTATATGAAACAATAGACTTAGTATTTTGACTTCACAAACATCTAATTTAAACCAGTGCTGCATTCAACAAACAACGTGACACACAAAAATCGATGTTTATCTGTGTTTTTTAATATTTGCTTTTAAATTAACAAATTGAGTAATGTATAGTACTAAAATTTGAATTATAATATTCAGTTTGATACCAAAGTTGGTGATGTAAATTCATGAGATAGTAGTTCAATATATTTTTGAATACGAGTCATGGCCTTTCACCTGTGACCCGTCTCAAAAAGGTTAAAATTAGTAATTTGTACAGAAGCAGTCCTCATGCAATTGGTGAACAGTTGTTAAATGTTTATTTTAATTATTTAGTTTATTATTAACCTAATAAATGATTTTACTTTAAGATACTGCATCTGAGTATGTGTAAAGTTATTTATCTTAAACACAGTGATAGTCAAAACTTTCTTAGGTAATATTTACTAATTCTGAGGTTAAAACGTGGCACAACCTATGCTCGGCAAATCAGATATTAAAGTAAAAAGTTGCATGTGTATTTTTGTGACTGAATAATTTCTTTTTCTTTTCATTTAGAAATAATGTGGATTACATATGTCTGTACTCTTAGTTTTTGCACCTTTCAATTTGCATCTTTTGATCATGTCCTAACCAGCTTCACATTTAGTTTTTCTTCCTAACACGTCTTTAAATAATTTCTAAGTGTCTGGCATATAAAGTCATCATATTGTTGACAGTTGTCAGACAGAATTTTTCATGTCTGTTGGTTGAAAAAAAATGTTTTCACTTGTATATTAATGAATCTAATTATTAGTTTAAAATATTACCCCATTGCCTGTTGAAACAAATGAATAAGGTTTTAGATTTCCTACTGTCCTTTCTTCGAACATATTAATGAATATGTAATTAATTTCTTCTACTCACTGTGTCTGTTACATCAATTTTATCTTTTTTACATGTACATGTATCTATTTAATGACTAAAATTATAATTTAGAGAGTCGTACCATTTTACAATAGGTATATATTTTGTTTTTTATTTACTTCTAACAATTAAAATAAAGTTTTTATTGCACTTCACCGTCATATCGTTAATATTAAAAGTTATAACACATCGTACATGAACAGATGGGATTTAATGAACAGTGTAGAGGGAGAATCTAATGGTGTTGGAAGTCCAGATATAGTATATCTTTCCAGTTGGTGAATAGCCTTGTATTAGTTTTGGTGGGACAGAGTACAAAGAAATGCCAAGAATAAGATAAACTTTGAACTTAACCTTGCAGATCAGGGCACTTTTTTTCTGTGTTATAGAAGTGAGTATGCTGGTAGTTATGGTAATATTTAATGTTGTTCAGATTTTTGGTCATCAACTTTTCACTGCCTTGTGAATTATATCTGTGACACTCTTACAGTTAATATCCTCAATTAATTACAGCTCCTGGGAGAAAAACAAACTGTGTATAAATTTATTTTTCTTTTGGACTCATCAACTGTTACTTAGAAAATTACATGTTACTAACATAGTCTAACAGATGTAAGAGGTCTCGGATTACTTGAAAGCAAACTTTCAAGTGTTAACTAAATCCCCATTTGTTTGGCTTCTTACTAGAGTATTGTAGCTTTCTTATCTGAAAATGTCTTATTGATGTCATCAACATCGTGTTGTAAATAGATCCATTGAGTTTTTTTAAGGTTTTGATCACTCTCCCTCTCTCTTGTTTCATTATCTTCATCTTTTCATGAATATTGTAGCCTTCAGAATTTGAAATAAATTCATTTTGCCAAGAACTGTTTTAATCAATTTAAATAATTTTAGCCATTATTGTCCCACCAAATTATATCAAGTTTCTGGTTTCTTAATCATTCAAGCTAAACTCTCCATTGTTGACATAATATAACAAGCTAGAGAATAATTTAAACTGTATAAAAATTACAGTTTTTGGAACTTAATTGAAGTGTAAGGCACGTATAACTTGGCCTAGACCCAACATAGTGAATTAAGTTCATAAAGAGACATACGTAAGTGAATGATACACATATAAAATAATATAGGTAGAAGCAAAACTATAATTTGTGAGCTAGCTCAGTGCCTAAGCCTTACAATCCCTATTTAAAAAGACTGATTATTTGTAGGATTTAAAGACATCGCATAGTCAATGTTATTTTAACTCTTTAACTAAAAGGTGGATTGATGACAGCAGAGAAATGCCTTATGCCAAAAAGGAGAATAATATATATATATATATAT